CGTTTGGAGGAGAATCGTTCGAGATATTTACGCCAGGTTATCCTTGGCCTCTTCCGCATGTCGGATGGGCAAATTATAGCCGCCTCGCTCTTCTTTCTGGAGGTATTTGCAAGACGTGCTCAAGCCATCGCAGCTGCGACTCCTTGATCCTACACCAAGGATCTCTCCTATATCTGCATTGGATCAGGTCAAGACGCCTGAGACAAGCGATTCGTCTCAGAAACTTATCGAAAGCGCTTCACCAGGGATCAAATTTTTTCGGCCATGGCCCACAATCATTGACCGTAGGTGTGCATTGTAATTTCCGTTGGCTTTCCATTCCAAAAATTAACACGTGAATGTAGCTGTAGAAATATGAGAAATGAGTAGTATGCGGGTTATTATCTTGGCTACCATTGACAAACTTCTCTGCTGCAATCGGCTTGTCACTTGAGTCCAAGAAGTGTGTAAGTTGATAAAGAAAAAGTCGCGGTCACTATCAAAGAATCCGCTGACTACATTATCCACATTTATGACAGACTTATAGTTCAATTAGGGTAATGAAGTGAAATACGTCTGCGCAATAATTAACAAGCACCTCTACTAATATGCAAAGGTAATTGAAGTACATCTGAAGTAATCGCCGTACGAAGGTGCCTAATGTTTGTTTCTACGAATAACCATGATTTATTTCAGCAAAATATGGCGGCTTCGCGTCTGGAGAACACTTCGTTACAGACTCCCATTACTGTTGTTTATATCAACAACATTGAATTGCTAAAGGAAAAAAAGGAAAGTTTGTGACCGTTGGACATTCAGCTTTCCTTACACGTTCATGATTGGGTCGTTCTGCCGCCATTCTTTTCATGAAGATACTGGTGAGATCAGTGGTCTTTATTTCCATGCCATCCGCCAGGAAAATCTAATCGACTGTAGCTATGTGACAAACAGTCTGTTACTCTTCTGTTTCCGGTTCACAGATCATTTGTTCGCATTAACTAAAGAGACTTTCATGAGTATCACAAACGACGGCTCTAAAGTTCAAAAGTTTTTCGCTGATCATTGACATCACTCGTCCCATGTTCCTCATTATCTTACTTACCTGGAGTCTCTCCCCAATGCCAATGTCTACCATGTCGTGCAGTCAGTTGTCAAATCTTCTATCGTTTCCGTAAAATGACACCATTATTGACAGCATCGAAGAACGGCTTCTTGGTATCGCTTTTCGTATTGTCCCTCCTCTGAACAGAATTGAAAAGTTTTGATGGTACGCTGAACGAAAATTCCCGGCGACGCAAAACAGCTGACATACGGACAAACAAGTATATTAGTTATGTCAATAGGATTGACAGGAATGAAAGAAGTTATCCACAATTTGTGTATCAAGCGCTCAATTATTGAACACAGGCTGAAATTTATTCATGGCATTTTTTGTCCTCTATGAACCAGTAGCGAATCATGTCTGTAACACTTTCTTATTTGCATAAAACTGAACAACCTGTGCACATCTCACATTGCTATTAAGAATTTTGCTTGTGTAAACATATGGCCACTTTTCGCCGACGTCGTTCTCATCTTTTTTCTTCTTCTCTCATTCTTCCAGCGCACACTGTAGGGAAATGCACTGATTAAGTTGCTTTTATGCCTTTAAAATAAATTTATCAAGAAGTTTGTGTAACTACATATCTCACAGGGAGCTACAGTACCTGCTTATTCCCAAACCGTGCATAATGAAAGAATATTTCGCCATT